GTGTGAGAGAGAGAGAGAGAGAGAGAGAGAGAGAGAGAGAGAGAGAGAGAGCGGGGAGACTGAAAGAGAGGGAACAGAGAGATTGGAACAGAGAGAGCTGAGAGACAAGGAGAGAGCGGACTGAGTGGGAGAGAAAGAGAGCGGACTGAGTGCCAGAGAGAGAGGGGGATCAGGGAATGAGAAGAGCGAGAGACAACAGAGAGAGGAAACGGCGAGAAAGAGCAGCACGAGAGAGGAAGAGGGGGAACAGCAAGTAAGCAGTCGGAAGTCATTGCTGTTCGAACCCGCAGGTTTACTGCTTGAACATCAAAACTCATCACACTGTAAACCCCCTGTTTACCCTGTTGGCTATTGAAAACTCGTTGTTGACTAATCCAGCCAATCAGTTGGAAGAACGAATAAAGTCCATTGCTGTCAGAACCGAGCAAAATGCTGGTTGGTCTTTGTAACTCATTGTTAACGGAACTGGCTGATTTACGGAAAACTAATGAACTTCGCTGAACCAGTTGTTAAATCGCTTGGCCATCGAAGATCATTGCTGTCTGGACCAGTTGATTCACTGTTTGACTAGTGAGATTTATCATTGTCAGAACCTCTTGATCTACCGGTTAACTGAATGAAACTCTTTGCAATGGGAAGTTATCAAATAAATAAGAAAGGGAGTAGAAAATCAGGCATCGTGACGAGGCGACTTCTACCCAGATCCCCGCTGCTCACAGAGGACCTCTGAAGCGAGCGCGGCGAAGTGACAGGCGCCGTGGCTCATGGCTTCCGCGAGCAGCAGGTAGCCCCTCCCCGGGTTTCCTCACAGCGGTTCAATCCCATATCCAAAAAGGAACGGTGCATATCAGATAACACTTCCTTCTCGGATTTAGTTTCTACGAGAAATGATAGACTACAGTCAAACGTCAGCTTCTGGAAGTGCGAATACAACAGCAGACATAGCACCAAAGTGTCAGCAGTATTTCGATCAATAGACACACATGCGAAATCTTTAAGGCGTGCCACCCAAACAGACAAGAGAGGATCAACAGCTGCAAGAACAGGAGACCTAAGATCCCAACAATTTTCCAAATCAGTACGTCCAAGGACCAATGCAGACCTAACCAATTTACAGATAGTACTAAGCTCCTTCCCCAATTCAACAATACCCCAATCACGCGAAACCAATGGAATGTTCCTTGAGTTCCGAAACACCAAAGGAATATCCGGAATATCCCCAATGCGTGTCATAACATGGAATCCATAACGCGCCCAACACTCAACAGTTTCAAAACATGGACAAGATTCCTGTTGCGTTCTTGCAATCTTGCTATGATTGAGGATAAAATCCCCCACAGTCCGGTTCTTCCTCCATGCAAAACGTACCCTGGAAGACAAAAAATGAACAACAGGTTCAGGAAAACGAGATGCCGCAACACAATTAAGCACAAGGCGGTGGACTCTAGTAGGAGACAACCGATGATCAAAACGCATGCGAACCACCAGTCGTTTGCGAAGATCCAAACCGATTCTCCTTTTGATTTCCCGGGCCACAATACCCTTTAACCGGGAACGTGTCTCCTTCCTGGAGAACTCCCTTGCTGCACGGAACCATCGAATCAGTGTAGAGGCGGAGCAAAGAGGTAACCCCCTCCTTCTTCAGGGTTGTTGAAGCAACAACCGCAATTCCCCTTTACAGATAGCACGACCATTGGGCGTAAGCACAATGGGACAGAAGGCAAAGGATCCTCCCAACTCAAACCACCTCGTCGATTTCTTAAGACTGGATCCGCCGTGACATCCTTCGATAGAACTAGTACCAAAAAGCCTACGGAGTACTGACCACTTGTCCACCCAACAGGCACGGGTAAGCATTCAATAACCACAGACCTAACCCCGTTCTTCACCAATCCGAGCAGCAATCTAGACAGACTATCAGTCCACTCGCCATTTCCGACCCTAAAACGAAGGATAGAACCCACCCCCGAAAAGGCCGGGGCATTCCCTACTCTTTTCCTTCTAGACGGTCGGACCCATGCCCTCTTCCCCCTCCGGGTCTTCTTAGAATTTAACGTCGGACTAAACCTTCGGATCAACGCAGTTTCAGCCCGATTGACGGAGCAAAGTCCATTAACCAATGGAATCGCAACATATTTCCAAACACCAAAAAAGTGCATCCACCGATACAGCTTCGGACATACTCCTAAACCACCGGAGATCGCAGTTCTACAGTGTTCCCCCCACCTGACAAATAGTCCTCTAACCGAACTACCCACATATTGGGACCGACACCAAGGAGATGCTAGAATGTAGACAACCGGGACAGAGTCCCACGCTTTCCAATCAATAAAACACAACAACTTTTCGAACTTCGTGGCCCAACGGATCTCACCAAGCAGAACCAGAGCAACAAAACATAGAGTAACACATCGTTCAATTGCCAATCTCATGTGGGAAGACCAACCTTCCTCGAAGGCGCGAATCCGAGACGACATGGAAGCAAAAGGATTCTCCCATAACCTAAAAACAGCATACTGCCATAGTCAGCCCGATTGATCAACTTCAGGGGAACCCGGCGCTGACGTAGCCGGTGAGAATATGAATCCCTCATAAAAACTTAGTCCTAGCGGCGACGATCCGATCCACAGACTACCCCTTCGTGCAGTAGCGCACCCCTTCCTTAGAACAGATGTGTTTCAATTCATCCTGCCTCATAGCCGAAAGAAGCATCTTCTGCTCGAGCACGAACTCCATAAGCCCTTCAGGACCACATCCCGTCGGGATCTTTGTCTTGCCACGGGCTTCCGCCTGACGAGATGATTCGGCCCGCATTGGAATATCATCCAAACCACCAGCTGGAGATGAAAACGAGGGTTCCCGAAGCACTGGCCCAGGGCACAAGGGCTCCTTACCCCTTCGCCTTTTTTCACGAAGCGCCATCAGGCGCCGAATCTCCTCATCTAGATCGTCCACTTCCATGTCCCCTTCGCCCCTGTCGGCATAGTCCCTTCTTCGTCGAGGCGGAGGTGACCTTCCCCGCCTCGATTCTTCCCGGCGAACCTCGTCCTTCTGGTCAAGGTATTGTCTGCCAACCGCGGCCATAACCTCTGCCTTCGTGGCCTCAGCGTATTTCGCCATCTCAGCCCTCAAACGCTCATCAAAACGCTTTTGCTCCTCCAACTCCTTTCTACACGTCTTCTCCTCCCTTCTCTCGTTAATAAGCTCCCTCTGAATTTTTCTCTCCTCGTCCTCAGCCTCATTCCGTCTTGGCGTCCAATACCTCGGCGTAGCAGGAGCAGAAAAAAGACGAATTCCCACTGGCGTTCATCCCATTAGAGGACGCTTTACTAGGACATTCCCTGGCGAAATGTCCTTCGCCCCCACATTGGAAGCCTTTCAAAGGAGTACCCATCACGCTACCGAGGTAGGGGTAATCAGAAACGAAAGCTGGAGCTCCTACGGTGAGATCACAAGTGGCAAGTATTAGCGTAATCAACCAAGGGAGCTATCGTACCGCGCAGGCCACGTCCCGTTACTCCTGCCTAATAAACACCTGAACCCCCCTAGTTCTTCGTCGTACCAAACCACAACCCTAACGAGATCTGGAGAATCACCGTCCCCAACCAACAACGCAAAGCGGAGCACAATCCTCATACTGAGACACCTAACTACTAATCGTCAGGCATACAACCCCAATCTACAGAGGAACGTAATCAACACGTCATCACCAACGATAAACCAAACAAAGGCAAAACTTCCCCATCCACAACCTTTTATGAACACCAACGATTACCCTCGATAAAATCCAAGAGAACGTGGCCACCAAAAAATGTACGATCGCACTTATGGTTGTCACGGTAATCAGAATTGAAAAGTTGTTCGGCAAAACAGCATCAAGCATGAGAATGGAAGCGAAGAATACACCCAGGTAAACATTCCATTACGCACGCTTTAACAAAATCCAGATCAGCAACATTAAACATGATCCTAAAAACTCGTCACCAATACAAGTACCGAAGGCGATTCCTTCATGAAAAACACGCGGCAATACCTCTACGCGTTTCGACTACCCCGCTAGTAGTCTCATTAGGAGGTTTCAGAAGGAAGAGAGAATAGAGAATAGAGAATCCTGCTACTAAAGCTACTTCAACGCAGATGGCCAATCCATTGCCTTGCCATCTTATATATCTTCTACCCAATGCCCGTTCTCACCACCCTCCACCCATCAAGAAATCGAAACATCATCTCGTGCACGTATAGCCGTATAAGTCGACGACCACCTTCTCGCCCAGACAGACAGTAGATCGAAAGCGGATTGGTCGAAGCCATCCATAGAACCCCCGCAAACCGTCGCAGGAGCACGATCTTCATTCTCGGGCAGCCTGCATAAGCACAGAGACAAAGAACACACAGCCACAAAACAACAGGGAGACAGGCAAACCGAATGCAGAGCGCCACAATCGCCAAGGATCAATGTATCACAGCAATAGCTGGCACCGTAGTAGGCACAAAGTACGGCGCATCAGTCGTAATCAAGGAAGAAGATGCGCACTCCTAACAGCCACCAGCTCATGCAGAATTAAAAACCTCCCAGGTGAGCACACAAGACCAGATGACCGATCACAGGTTGCCGCAGCTCGTACATCAAAGCAGAACTGAACTGCCAGAAGCGCATGATCATCCATAGGCGCCGGCCCCGCCAAGCTAGCACGCGTCTTAGCGATGAGTATGAGAGGCCGAAGCAGGTATAACCCGCAGTAATATAGTCGATGAAACGTGCGTATGAACACCTTTTAGTACTCGAAAACCGACTTTCCCAGAAAAGGAAGCCAAAAGTCCCCGGGACCAAACGTTCTGCCAGACCAGTACCCGTACCGAAGGCAGAGCTGCACAACCGCTGCCCAACACTTGCACCGAGGCTGCTCATACCCAGATGTTCGAAAAATTCTGAATCAGGCAGCCCTATCAAATCAAGGCCCTGCTCCTCCCAAAAAAACAATACAGTCCTACGCTACATCAAAATGCCCCCAATCATGGGTACGAAAAAAGGTACAGTCCTACGCTACAACAAAATGCCCACTAAAATGGGTCCGTGAAAAAAACCCGCAAGGGGTGTGTTGCGGTAATACGACCACAACCCACCCCTCAACGACCGAACACCCGAACGCCCGAACGTACGGGACCCCTTCAGAAGGAGTTCGGCCGTTCGGGCCGAATGCGGACCAAAAAAAAAAAAAAAAAAAAAAAAAAAAAA